TCTGCCCGCCTGGAGGAGACAGAGTTCTAGTTCCAGGTGACCGGGGGCCAAGTCACTTTGCCTCTCTTTGCCTCGGTTTCCCCCCTCTGTAACAACAGGAGTAATACTGACCCATGATTACAAAGCTGAGCAGGTGCACTGGGGAGACATACGGGCTAACCCCATAAAGGGTTAAGTGGAACCTGGATATTAGATTACTTTAATCCAATTTAGTAGACCAGGTCTACACTGCAGATCTGTATCGGTATAACAACATCGCGCAGGGGTGTGAAAAATCCACACCCGTGAGCGACGTAGTTACACCGACCTAACCCCCCATATATACAGCGCTACATTGATGGAAGAGCTTCTCCCGTTGACATAGCTACCACCTCTTGGGGAGGTCGATTAATTACGCTGGCGGGAGAAGCTCTCTCATCAGGGTAAGAGCATCTTCACATAAGTGCTGCAGTTGTGCCGACGCAGCGTTTTAAGTGTAGACCTGCCCTTGGTTTATATTATTTAGATGGCAAACTCCATATGTTGGTACAAGTGTCTAGGACATTGGGCCCCTGGTCTGTGAATGCTACCGTAATACACATAAAGAACAGTAACATAGAAAGCTCTCTGAAAATCAGGACAATCGGATAGTGACCTAGTGAAGTAGGTACAGCACAAATACTAGAGGTGTTCTCAGCAAGTACAAGGGGCTGAGACAGCTCACCTGAGATTGTCCTATTCTTGCTAAGACCTGTGTTATGCAGGAGGTCAGACCAGATGATCATAATGGTCCCTTCTGGCTTTAAATCTATCGTGGGATCTGTGAAAGTCACTGTAACCAAATTTCAACTTCAAGAGGACTTGTCAAGGTACAGGAGGCATGCAGTGCTCTTTGTCCTATGAGCCTCCAGGACACTGCACTTTTGCTTGAACACAGGTTCTTCTGAAGACTTAGTTAGGACCTGCTATGCTGCTCTTTGGAAGACACGGGTCTTTGGAAGACACCACAGGGGAGGTAACAAGTCCTAGCAGTCAGCAAATTCAGGTCCCCAAGCCAGAAAGGTCTGGGCCCACATATTTACTTACCAGAACAGAATGGGTTGGTGGGGTTGAAGTTAATGGCAAATTCGTGAGATACCTGGAGGGAAAAAAAACAACAACCCAAATTGACATGGGAGCTAAGCACAGAGTGGGGTTTCTGGCAATAGGCTTGGCAAAAGAACGTAAGGCGGTTTTTGGGTCTGATGGGCAGAACTCCCCTGCACTGCCCAAAGGGAGTCTTGCTTTGTTTTGGCAGGGCCACCGATTTATTAATTCCCCATACTGGGTCTACAACATTTCCTATGCCCCCAGCTATGGCAAGCATACGAAAAGTGAAAATTAACCCACTCTGACTTCAGTAGCTTTGGGGGGCTGGGATAGTTCCTTTTGCCTTAAAGCCTTTTGATTAAATCTCCGCTCAGCTTCCTGTGAAATTGGGATTCCCATCACTAATTCCTTAGTGAACAGTAAGAAATTGGGTTTGTCCACGTTGCTTCCCTTTGCCTACCTGGAGGAAGAGCACAGGGAGAAGGGCCCAGATCCTCAACGGGTATTTAGGCGCCTAGCTCCTATTGATCTCAGTGGGAGCTAGACACCTACATACCTTTGAGGATGTGGGCAGAGCCGCGGAGACGGGCCAGTCGGCTGGCACATCTCTCACATACCCCACCAAGAATCACACTCGCTAGAAGAAGTGACATTAATTCCATGTAAGGTCACAAAAGGCTCAAACGACGTTAACCACATGACACACAGTCCCTGTTCCCCATCCCTTTGCAAGCTGGCACTGCAGAGCAGGTGACAGAGGTAACCCCCTGGAATTGCTTGGACTGGCTTTCCCAACCGCCAAGGAAAATGCCCACCTTCCTAGGCAGTAGCAAGAGACACTCAAGGTCTTCAGGCAACTGACACCAC